CCACGCTCTGCCTTTAGCATGTTGCTTTGCCTGTCAGGGCTGCCACCCTCTTAACTGTAAGGTGAGGAGTCTGGAGTAGGTGATCCATCCCAGCTCTGCTGTTTTGCAAATTTCTGATTTCGTATTCGGATGAGGCTGAGATACACCCAGAGCAGTATAAACCAGGCCCTACCTCCTGCCTATTGCTGGGACATCCCTCAGGTCTATGCCTTCTATTCAACCCTTTACTGAGCCCAGCTTTTGTCAGGATCCCAAGTGCCTACCGAGATGGCATGGGACGTCTCTCGTGGTCATGGTGGCCATCATTTCTATTGGTTGTGCTGAAACAGCTCTTCTGAGATCCCCAGGCCACCCTTGCTCAAACCTGAAGACAACTCTGTCGTGTCTTTCCTAGGAGGAGGATCAATGCATGGTGTACATTATGACAATCCTGTGCCCAGGAATGCACGGAAGGTTGTCAGCTGAGTGAGGGGAGGTGCCTCTGTGTCCCTGTGTCCCTGTATCTCTGTTTGCTCACAGTGCCCTGCCACAGGCTACTGAGCAAGAAGTGTTATTCACTATGATGTGTGTTTTGCAGACGTGTAGGTGATGGTCGTGTGGCTCCTGTGTGGGCTTTGAGCTGGGATGTTGAAGAGCTTATAAATACCTCATCAACATGTATTCGAGGTGGCCTGGTGCCACACAGACTTGATTCATGAAGGCATCATGCCTGCACACTGGTTTGGAAACAACTTGGTTTTGATCAGTCACACTGCATGCATGTCTCGCTGCTAATCTATGGGTGGTTTTTTCATTTTAGGTTTATTCACCCAGTGTCTTGCTTAAGCTGAAAAATACTTTTATTTCACCAGAATATTCTCTGATTCTTTGTTTTCACACATCCAGTTTTTAAATTCCTTTAAAAATTGTTCTGTGTTTATAATGCCTCCTTATTTCTATCATCTCTATGTTCCCAGTGGTCTGAGCCATGCATCAAATTTTATGTAGGAACTGTTCCACCAAAAGAAATCCCCTCGCCATAATACCTTTTGAGGAAAATACTGTTATTTAAGACTCTAACACTAAATCTTAGAACAAGCATGGAACGTTTCTTGTAGTTAATACATGTTCATGCAAAAAGAAACTTGATATTTTCATTGAAGAATGTTGATTTTAATAACTTTTACTAATGTGAATATTATTATTCATAATTTAAGTAACCAAATAAAACCACAGTTACTTATTATTAAGATTGAAAACTATTTACACGGTCTCTCGATTAGAAGACTGAAGTGTATTTAAAAGATGGAAAAATACCCATGATGACACCATCTTTTTTATTAACTAAATATCAAGAACTGTGCAGGGTTAAGATTTGACCACCTGCAAGCTGCCAAGTTAGCATGAGGTAGTTTGTGGATGCTGCCAGAAGACAGAACTCTCCTCCAGGATCAGAGACAAAGGACTTCCTGCCAGCACAGCAGGCAGCCAGTGGTTCATGTTCATGTTGGTTCCTGAGTTCCTTTCCTATTGCTGTAGTAACAAAGGACCACAGACTCAGTGGCTTAAAGTAACACACATTCATTGTCTCACTGTTCTAGGGTGCAGAAATGCGAAGTCAATGTCAGTGGGCTAAAACCAACGTGTGACCAAGGCTACGTTCCACACCGAGGCTCTTGGGAGGGATTCATCTTCCTACCTTTCCCAGCTTGCGGAGGGGCTCACACTCCTTGGCCCCGGGCCCTGTGTCACTGTGACTTCTGCTGCCACTTCACATCTGTTTCTCCGACCAATCTGCCTCTCTCCTCTAAGGACCTCCGTGATGACGTTTGCTTTCCCACAGTGATCTGTCATCCCAAGGTCCTTGACAATCACACCTGCAGAATCCCTTTTGCCATGCACAGTGACATATTCCCAGGTACTAGCGATCAGACCGTGGACATATTGGGGGCCATTATTCTACCAAGTTCTTCCTTTTGGCCCCAATGGTTCTTGTCCATCCCACATGATAAATGCATGCACCTTATCCCAACACCCTCCAGAGTCTCATTTACTACACCATCAACTCAAAATCCAACATGAAGTCTAACTATTATCAGCTCAAAAGCCTAAATATTTTTATCCTCATCGCCTAAATCAGGCATGATTGTGACCCTGGGTATGATCTTCCCTGCTCAAAATCCTGCAATGGCTTCTCATTTCACTCAGTGAAGAAGCGAGAGTACTTATGGTGACCTTACAGCTTTCCTCCCCCTCCCTAAGCTGAGTTCATCTCCGGTTTTCTCCCTGGCTCACTCCGCTCCAGCCACACTGGCCTCCCTGCTGGCCCTTGGGGACATCAGACATGCACCCACAGGCCTGTTGCCCCGGTCGGTCTCTGTCAAACTCATATGCTGAATCCCCAGGACAACAGAACATGACCCCATTTGATAATAGGGTTGTTGCAGAAGTCATTGGTTAAGAAGAGGTCATTAGGGTGGGCCCTAATCCAGTATGACTTGTGTCCTGATAAAAAGGGGCAATGTGGACACAGAGACACGTGTACATGGGAGATGACGTGATGAGATGTAGAGAGAAGACGGTCGTCTCCAAGCCAATGAGAGAGGCCTGGACCAGCCTCTCCCTCCCAGCCCTCAGGAGGAACCAGCCCTGCTGATACCCTGCCTGCAGACTCCCCGCCCCCAGGGCTGTGACACAGGGAGCCTCTGTGGTTCCCGTCACCCAGTGTGTGGTGCTGTGATAGAGGAAGCTCAGCAACTAGCACCCCCTTCTCAAGGTCCCCAGTGAGACCCACTCTGGCCATCTCATTTTAAACTGGAAACTGCCTTCCCCTTGTCTCTG